AATACTACACACACACACACACACACACACACACACACACACACACACACACAAAAAGAACTGATAAACCAAGCAACTATACAAAAAAAAAAAATAAGAGAAGATTAATTAAGAATTAAAAAAAATTAACAGATTAGAGAAGCGTTGTTGTCTTTTATCAGCCGATCCCGTCGCTGTATCTCGACCGATCGTAACAATATTGATTGTGACGATATAGATTTCCGCGGCGATTGCAAACAGGGTGTTTAAAAAAAAAAAAATTCAAGTTCGATCGGCGATAAGTGAGGGGTAATTCGCGACAAGGTAGAACGACGGATCGGACAGCGCGGATTTGCTCAACGGTGAGAAAGCTCGCGTGACAAATGTTATTTTTTTCCACTTTCGACTTGCGTCGCATTTCGTGAGGAAGCGCGGCCGAGCGTACGCGCGCCATTGTATACGAAAGCATATTATTTTAAAGTGGTACAATGCTCTCCGTTTCGGACGGAATGGAACGCGAAGCCTCGAAGCTGACAGAAGTGACAAGAGGCTTCACAGGTTAGGAGCTTCGAAAATTCGCGAAGTTTCTTATTAAAGAGGCCTACCAAGTGGACGTTTCTTCTTGTACTCCTGAATTTTTGCCGCTTCCTCGAAGCTTTACTCATCGAGCTATGATCATTCCAAAATCGGGGGCTGTGCCAAAATAACGCTTTCACGTCGAAGATTCGTCTTTTTATTATGCCTTTTATATACGGAGATGCGACTTGCCATTCATTCTTTTGACGTATTTTAATTGTTACTCAGCCGAGTGTGCGCCGAGTTTTCCCCCGTGACATATCAATGAAAGTTTTTCAATCGACGATCATGGCTATAACGCTCGAGCAAATGGCGATCGTATAAGAGTAGAAAACGAAAGTGATCGCGAGTCATTGTGGCGATGATGACGAATTCTACTATCGACGAATGAAAACAGAAATGGAAGAAATGACGAGGTTCGATCTTCCCATGTATATTCGTTTAACGAGGATAGTGAAAAGTATAACGCCTACTCTTTCAAGTGTTTCTTCGGATTCAGCAAGCCGGAACTCGCAACGAAAGTTACGTCTTTGTCTCGAAAGTTTTGTAGTCCGCGATTCTTTATTCCATTTAACGTCTTGTTTTTTTTCCTTTTCTAATTTTTTTTTTTTATTCACATCACTGGAATTATGCCTATGTAAAGTCCAACTCCGTGCGCATCGTAACAGCTAGAGATAGTGACCACGAGCTATAGACTTAATCCTTTGCACTTGGATGTCGGTGTTAGGCGAATAATATTTTGTATCGTTGTTGTAATCTAGTCACTACACCCAAAAAACTTAACGAAACTTAAACATAAATACGTACTGACGTGTGAAATCGGCGAGTGCTCTTAATTCGTTGGAACATTATTGCTGCCGGAAACTCTGATCTTGAATTCCAGAATTGGGCAATGTATCAAATATACATAATTCACACAAATATTTTAAATAATATTGTCATTCATTTTTGTTCTTTTAATATTTAAAATCAAAATTTACGAATATGGGTCCATCTTATGGCTTAAAAATGGCTTTTCCAAACAGTTTGAATCTTGTTATTTAAAATGCGTCTCTCAAAAAATGTTGCAGTAATCATTTTTCTCACATGAAATATATTATTGTAACATTTTATCCAATTCTGAAGTTGAAGATAATATAAACATAATATCTGACAAAGAATTCGAGAATCTCGCATCTTCTCGATCCTTTGCTCGCGCGTGCCTCTTCCCCGAGTGATTCTGATACGGTGGGAAAGTGCGGAAAAACTAAAAAAAAAAAAAAAAAGAAATTAAGGGGAAAATACTTCTGCAAGAAAGTGCGAAAGAGAGAAAGAGCACTCGAAGGATTTGAATATTCATTCGCGTAAGTAGCACATTCTCGAATAGAGTTAATAAAGCGTCAGGGGACGAAGAGTATTTTTTCTAGGAATGTTAGTGGACCAGGCAGCAGGAACATTAATATCGTAAAACCGCGGCGAATTTCATAATTTATAAATTGCAGGAAAACCAAAAAAAAAGAAAGCAAAATAGAAGCTGTAAGTAATGAAGGAAAATTATGCGTATGGGAAAAAAGAAATGTCGGTCATCGGTTAAGGGAAGAGCAGTGGGACTTGTCATGCGGTTAAATGATACTTGAATGATAGTATAAATGCAGAGTGTGCGTAGGCAGTAAAAACTTTTTTTAGACGTCCTGAAACGGAAGAGGAAATGGCTGAGAACGAGAAAAAGAAAAGAGAGAGAAACAGTACGAAAGAGGAGAGAGAGAGAGA